AATTAGCGACTATCAACCGATTGTTTTAAATATTAATGGCATCGAATAAGAAACGCGTGTTTTCGAGAAAAAAAATATGTAAATTTTATGATATATGAATCATATTGTCACATTTCCTGTAATTGGAATAGCAATTTATCGAATACAAATTACAAATTATGGAATAGAAATAACAAGTAATCAAATAGGAATCACATTCTATAGAATAAGATTGTTTTAGAATAAGAATAATCTCATTCTCAAGGTTATGGTCCGAAAGCGATCAATTTTCAAGCCGAGACAGGCTACTGACAAATAAGTTAATTGTTACAGGGATTTCAACAATTTATTTAAAGTCAGCATTACTTACATGCTATGGTCGCTATATTGCTCTTTTCATAAATATATTAACCTATTATTGGAATCATTTTGGTCGATGTGTTTCATTCTAATTTTTAGGCTATAATTTTTTTTATTTTTATACTGAATTTGACTAGATGGGATGTTCCACCCACCTGATCAATATAATTATATATGGCTCACTTTCTAGACAGCAGATTTTTAAGATTTTTGTTTTATGCCATACTCGTTGTTTTGTAGTTAATTATGAATACCATGGATTTTGGAAAGTATTATCAAAAATAAAGTTGTCATGCTTGAAGATAACTGAAATCGTGCACTGATCAAAATGTACATGTATACACGGGGTGATACTGTATGTTTATTTCTATTTTTGAAAAGAGAAAAAATTGAAACCGAAATATAAATAAAGTGATACTGATAAATCCCGTAAAACAACTTCCCAGCTAAAAAAAATGTTCGAACTTTGAGGTGGGGTCAATATTCAACAGGGTCAATTTTCAACTTGTTGACGTCATCAGGTGTAAGAAAAAAATTATCAAGCTGTTGAAAAATGACCCCGGGTATAAATTCAACGACTTTTGGTCTCAATATTCAACGTTGAAAAATGACCCCGGTTCAATATTCAACGTTGAAAAATGACCCTCGGGTCAATTTTCAACTCGGGTCAATATTCAACGTTACACCGGCCCATTTCCTAAAACTTCAAATGACAATGTATATATTTTAGTTATATCGGACTAGTTTACAATTTTTGCGGAGATTTTTCCTATACCGAACATGGAAGCAAAAACAACAGCTACAGCCTTTTTCCGGGGATGGATTAAAAGATACGGATATCCATATGAATTTCATAGTGATCAATGTGTACAATTTGAAAGTTTAGTGTTTCAACATTTGTGTTCAATGCTTGATATTGCGAAAACAAGGACAACTGCATTTCATCCTCGATCTGACAGAATGGTGGAAAGACTAAACAGAACAATTAAAGAGATGTTGTCTAAATATATAAATGTGAAACAAACTGACTGGGATGATTACATTGATTGTGTTGTTATGGCTTATAACTCTTCAATACACGACACAACTGGGATTACACCGTACCGCATGATGTTTGGTTCGGAGATGACTGTACCCGTAGATTTACAAACAGAATCACTGGAAATCGGAAAAGGAGAAAAGATAACAGAAACGAAATATGTGAAAAGTTTGTGTAAAAGCATGAGACAGAACTTTGGGAGCTGTTCGGAGGCAAAAGAAAAATTACGATAAAACTGCCGTACGAGAAACTTACAATGAATGTGATATTGTGAGAAGATTTCAGCCAAAACAAATAGTGGGAACGAAGCTTAAATTAGCTCGGAACTGGACTGGACCTTAATTGGATTGTGACTAAAAAATTAAGTGATGTGTTATTTGAAATCAGACATTCAAGGAAATCTTATCCCGTAATTGTCCATGCAGACAACCTAAAATCGTTCCAAATGCGGAAAAATGCAAGGCTTAAACTAAAACACCTCCTCAAAATCAAAGAAATACCCGAGAATGCCCGAGCTGAATCCCTCCTCAACTTCTAAAGAGACCGCCGTCAGCGTGGCAAAGACGAACCGCGGCCTGTGTATTCCAGCTGCAGAGCCTCCTCCGACCGACCAGTCACGTGATACACAAAAACGGGGTACATCTACCAAAGCAAGACGGGGAAGGGCCATTCGAAAGCCAAAACGTTATGAGGATAGTATTATGTGAAAAGTGTGGTTTATTATTCAAAAGATTAGACAATTTCAAAAGACATTTCCAAAGACTTAATGAAGATGCCGTGAAATCGTTCAGTTGTGGATTTTGTGGTGAAAGTTTTAACAGGATTGACAATTTGAAGAGAAATGTTAATGCCAGACGTGAGGATGATTCTAAAGAACTAATTAGCGAATTCGATTTAAGTACTTTTGATTTGTAAACTTTTCATCATGGATTATAACAATAGAATTATTAAACATCCAGACTACAGTGATGTATCCAGTGATGAAGAGGATTTCGTTATAGAATCGGGAGAGGACACAGTAAATGACAGTGACAGTGACACTATGGAATACTGTGATAGCGATTTAATCGAGATATCAAGTGACGAATTCGAAGTGGAGAACGAAATTGCAGACGGACAGTGTGAGGATGATCTGGAAGTAACAGTGACACATACCATAGGAATAACAATGACGAAAACTATTCAATACAAAACAAGTGAAGTAACGAGTGAAAACCGATCTTTGGACATATATTTCTCGGAGGGGCTTGATCCGAAAGGAGTCGACATAGCTAAGTGAGCGAGGAAGCTCTACAGGAGATTCCCACATTTCTTGATGCCCTCAAAAGACAGAACAATGGCAAAAACTAAATTTGTGAAATATTGACTGTACGAGATTGTGAATAATTGACATTTATTTGTTATTGTTAAATTACTTGCTTTTATTTTTTTTGACGGCTAAATCGTTGTATTGACCGAAAAAACAGCAATAATTGTTTTATTATATGATTCACTAATAAAATAAAACCCATTACTTGTTTGCATTTAATTAAGTCCTATCAAAATAAAATTAAGAGAAGCAGAATTAAAATGATATTCAACAATACAGGTCTTATTTATTAATTTTTTTTTTTAATTTTCTATTATCAAATATAGTTGCTTTGAAGAAAAAAATATGTCAGTTTTTTTTATAGGATAGATTTTGAAAGAAGGAGTGTTATCAGGGAAAACTGACTGCCAAAAAGTAAAAATTGTTGTTCAGTAAATGTGTTGGAGGGGAGTCTCTGCATCTCATCCCCTCTTACCACCCTCACCCGAAAATATATATTCGCTTGTTTTGTTCACATGAAAAGAAAGTCAAAGTAGTTTAAATGGCTTTCCAAAACAATTTGTATCAATTTGGAATTTCCCGATCTATTTTTAGATCAATGTAGAGGAAATAAATCATTGTATTGACTTTGAACGTCACGTGCAGGTCAATACAAGGTAGTATTTTTCTAACATAGTTGGATCTCAGCCAATCAGAGAGGTGAAAATTATTCAATCATATAATAATGTTCATTATCTTCATATCCTTCTTTTACAGAACAGTGTTCTCTTTCATTAGCTACAGAAGTGTAGTGTTATGGTTTATGTCTAAGTCTTTGACTTTAACGCTACAGGTCCCGTAATGGAAATAATGGCGAGAATTTCTCCACTTTCCAGTACTGGTCAGTCAATTATATTTCCCTCCCTAAGTCCAGGCACATTTATTTACCAACTTTATTCATACATCTCCAGATACGTTTTCATCTAAACAGACAGTTTTGCATTTTCTGTCATCTAAAAAAAGATCACAACAAGCAAACACAGAGATGAGTCTGAATAATTGGGAGGCAAATAAAGTATACAGACTCGTTAAAGAATTAAAGCAATATTAGCTGCATATTTGAGATCGGAAAATTTTTAATTAACATTTCTATGACAGAAAAATTAAAACATCAATAAAATACTGTTGTTGATTTTTGCGATGAATATTTTTTTATTAGCTTTGGTTGAAGCAAAATTGAATAATTGTAGTCCTGTACAATAATGATTTTTTATATCATACTGTATGTTCGGTTGAATAGAAATATTACTTCTGAAAAAATTTTAAAACTTTATTTTTGGGCTTATTGGTCACAGGGGTTTAAATTACATACAAATTAATCATAGTAACACATTTTACCAGCAAAATTAAATTCTCAAAAATGCAGCTCATATTGCTTTAAGAAGAAGGTATGGTTTCCAAACAATTTTTGCCCTATGATTTTCCAGAAAATAAAACTGGTGTAAAAGTTGAAAACTTGTGCTTTTTAAATAATTAAAGGTCAATGCAGAAATATCATACGAGTCATTTTTCTCACATGTGTTTTTAAATGCTAATTATGACGTCATAAACATGTGCATTTTCCTGTATTTTCTTAAAAAGTAGCAGAAGACACCAATTTTCAATGGAATTTTCTTTCAGATAACATTGTCCACAGGCATCGCCCACAAAGATCTTGAAATATGTGATTTGTTATTGAATTTTGCACAAAATATCAAAAAAGTAACGTGGGCGACGGCTGTGGACACTGTTTTCTAAAGGAAAATCACCCTTGAAATGAGCCATTTTGAGGCTTTTTCTGTTGAAAATAGAGAAATGCTTCACATTTATGACGTCATATTTGCAGAATGGTAAACCTTCATGACATATTCTTTCCTGATTCTCAGAGTCATTTATTTAACTAATATTTAAGCCAGTTTCAAAACTTTTTGATGATATTACATTTTTAGGGCGCAATAAAGTTAAAACCATACCTTCTTCTTTAGGATTATGGAGTGAGTAAGTTGATTGACCAATGCTAGAAAATGGAGAGATTATCCCCAATTCTGTGCAGAAAATTTTGCGTCGTAAATTGCATTTTATTTTCATAACGGGAAGGTCAAGGACTGATAAAAACATAACGCCACAATTCTCCAGCTACACTGTCATAGGACAGTTCTTAGCACGTCTCTCTCTTTGTGTATACACTATACCCTCCATTTATTCATATAATATCAAAATATCTGAAAATTACTTAAATCTTCCTCAAATATGAGCCTTTTGTGGAAAAAAATCTCTTTTTTTGACTGGTTGATACTTATGTATTGGGGGTAGTCTATTTCCTATTTTCAACATGTGCACTGCTTCAATGAATATAAATACTAGTACATCGAATGCTATAACTTTTATTTTTATATAAGGATGATCTGCAATATGCAGCATTATTGCACAAGAAAATAGCACTATAAAACTAGAAAAAAAAGAAAGGAATGAAAAAGAATTCCAAAAATAATCATAAACCCCAAAACCCATATAATCTACCCTTTATATAAGTAACATTGATAATTGTATGTACATGTATATATGAAAAATATATAAATTAAGCATATAAAGTGAAAAAAGGTAAGTGATAAAGAGAAACAAAGATGACTTTTTCCAACAATCGGTGGTAATTTTCCCCCGAACATAAATCCATACATAATAATACTATACATATTGCTAAATCTCAATTATAGCTATATCTTTGGATAAGAAATCCATCTCATTGGATAGAAAACTATGTATTGCTAAAACCTACATCAAAACATTTGAACTACGATTATATCTGATATCAAAACAACATATTAAAAGTTTCTTTCAAATCAGAAACTGTCATCTCTTGGTGTCAAATATTAATCAATGGATTAGATAAGCCTTGGCCTTTGTCCTCGGGTAACTAGGCGCTGAGAGCCATCCTGATCTGTCTGTCATGTTTTCCCTCAGACAAACATGTGACGCTCAGAAGTGGATGGTCTGTTTTCTGTAGATATTTCTGAAAATTCAGACATGGTGTAACTTTATTAATCCTCAAGATCTGATGAATGAACTTTCAAGGTTATGACCATAAACATAACAACATGTAAGATCTAGTTTTGCTTTAAGGAAAAACGTACAAATTTGATAAAAATACACTGTAAAATTAATTAATAAAAGTTTGTGTGTTCCGGTGTAAATCAAGATGTATCATTTATATCTACTGATAATACAGTTCTGCTTACATGGGCATAAGTCATTGCATTCTTTCTTTCAGAGGTTCTTTCAACAGATTCCAATCCAATCCAGACGAAGACAGCTTTCTTGGTGTCAACAATAAACACATCCTAATGTTAATAAGTCAACAGAATATATTTATTTCATTGTTATACTCATCCAAACTATGGTGAGTTTTAAGCAAGTCTTACCTAAGACAGGTCTTAAAGTTATGTTTGATGTCAAATTCCCAGTAGAAAATAATTTAAACAGCAGTCTTCAGCGTTATACTCACCTTGCTGTCCAAATCAGACGTGGATACTGACCCACTCTTCTCTACATAGACTCACCTTACTGTACAAATCAGACATGACTACTGACCCACTCTTCTCTACATAGACTCACCTTACTGTCCAAATCAGACGTGGATACTGACCCACTATTCTCTACATAGACTCACCTTGCTGTCCAAATCAGACGTGGATACTGACCCACTCTTCTCTACATAGACTCACCTTGCTGTCCAAATCAGACGTGGATACTGACCCACTCTTCTCTACATGCTGTCCAAATCAGACGTGGATACTGACCCACTCTTCTCTACATAGACTCACCTTACTGTCCAGATCAGACGTGGAAACTGACCCACTCTTCTCTACATAGACTCACCTTACTGTCCAAATCAGACGTGGATACTGACCCACTCTTCTCTACATAGACTCACCTTGCTGTCCAAATCAGACGTGGATACTGACTCACTCTTCTCTACATAGACTCACCTTACTGTCCAAATCAGACGTGGATACTGACCCACTCTTCTCTACATAGACTCACCTTGCTGTCCAAATCAGACGTGGATACTGACCCACTCTTCTCTACATACACTCACCTTGCTGTCCAAATCAGACGTGGATACTGACCCACTCTTCTCTACATAGACTCACCTTACTGTCCAAATCAGACGTGGATACTGACCCATTCTTCTCTACATATACTCACCTTGCTGTCCAAATCAGACGTGGATACTGACCCACTCTTCTCTACATAGACTCACCTTGCTGTCCAAATCAGACGTGGATACTGACCCACTCTTCTCTACATAGACTCACCTTGCTGTCCAAATCAGACGTGGATACTGACCCACTCTTCTCTACTTTAAATGTCAGATTTCCCGAGGCATCAGACAATCTATGGAAACAAAATGTTGTCATACTTTGATAAAACAAGAGATGTTTGTAAAACACTTATGCCCCCCTCCTCCCACACAAATTAAAATTTTTCTAGGTCAAAAAGGGCATAACTCTTTCAAAAATGGTGTGATCATACCCAAAACATAGCTTGACCTAGATATTCATGTGACTTATCTCTATACTAAATTTCATTTCAATATACGCAGCCTCTCTAAAGAAAATGAACTGAATGTGCAAAAATATAGAATTTTTCTAAGTCTAAGGGGCATAACTCTGCCAATTATGGTGCGATTGTACCCAAAACAGAACTTGACCTAGATATTCATCTGACTTATCTCTATATTAAATTCCATTTCAATATGTGCAACCTCTCCAAAGAAAATGAACGGAAACCGACAGACCGACCGACCAACCGACAGACAGCAGCAAAGCAACATGCCCTCCCTTCTTCGAAGGGGGGCATAACAAAGTGTAAATTTATATGATGGAGCAAGTGGCTTTTTTTATTTCAACATCTTTTTCAGAAGCCCCTATCTTATAAAGTTGTTCAAGTAAATAATATTCCATTCAAACAAGAAGAAGACATTTTTAATAAAGAAAAAAGTAAAACTTAGGGATGGGGGTAACAGGAAAACCTACTTCAAAGACGTAATTAATTTCTAGATGTGTGCATGACTTTCATGTGGAGACTTAATTGTCATTTGTCGACTTCCAGAGGTTATCAAGAAAAGTCGAAAAAATGAAACATTCTGAATTCCTGATACATTTATGTGATGAAGATTTTCAACCTTTACATCAAGTCAGTCATTTCAGAATCTTAGACTTTGTCTTTGAGAAAATATGTGATTGTGTTTGTTTATTTGTGCCCCAATACACTATATGCCCCTTAGAAGGATTCGAACTCAACCTGAAGAGTTCCACTGTCAAATCTTTCGGCTTCATGTTCTCTGCTTCATCTGGAACATCATCTTCCGTCAGGGCATGGTAAAACTCGTGCTGTAAAAGGGATAAGGGAATGGTAAAACTCATGCTGTAAAAGGGATAAAGGCATGGTAAAACTCGTGCTGTAAAAGGGATAGGGGCATGGTAAAACTCGTGCTGTAAATGGGATAAGGGCATGGTAAAACTCGTGCTGTAAAAGGGATAAGGGCATAGTAAAACTCATGCTGTAAAAGGGATAAGGGCATGGTAAAACTCGTCCTCGAAAAGGGAAAAGGGCATGGTAAAACTCGTGCTGTAAAAGGGATAAAGGCGTGGTAAAACTCGTGCTGGAAAAGGGATAAGGGCATGGTAAAACTCGTCCTCAAAAAGGGATAAGGGCATGGTAAAACTCGTGCTGTAAAAAGATTTTCCTCTAAGAGCTACTTGTACTTGTCATGTAATGATATTAAAAACAGTCCAATCCAAAAGCAAAAAGCAGTGTATCAAGAAATTTTAGATAATGCCTCCATGCTTTTTTCAAAATTAATTGATTAGACACAGATTTTGTTTTTATTTTGCTGATCAAATTTTGTGATTTGTTTTATAATTGTTTACATGGAAACAAAATGTAAATGTCATGTTAGAGCATAATCTTCTCTTGAAAGGATATTGCAAAACTCATACATCCATATTATATATATATACTCCTCCATGGCAACTGATCCCACCTCTGATGTTTCAGAGGCCCTTGTTTGCTCTACTCAAGCTTTGTATTGTTTTTTGGACTTTAATATTGAATTTTGTTCATTATCTCCATATCCTTCATTAAACTAAAGAGTGACTACAATATGGTAACAGTTGACACTTGCAACATAGTGATTTTTTATTCCCAATGGTCTTCAAATGCATTGTTAACTTAACACATTAACTTCATACTTTTATAACAATTGAAAATTGGTTTCCCTGGGACTTTGCTGTATGTATATTTTACTCTGAATGTAAGTATTTGCAATATATGTACATTTTCAAAGAACAAAAAGCATTCTACTATATTACTAATGCAGCAATATTTCCATGCTAAAATAATTTAAATATTACGGAAAAGACATACATTGTTTAATAATCAACTCAGTAACAGAAGGCCAGTATTTTATTAGGCCTAAGTTTGTAATTCATTTTTTATTTCCTCTTCTGTATTAAATGTAAAGGCCATAAAATGTATACAGACTGTATTCATAAATGTAAAGAAAGAGGTTTGTCCCCAAAAGTAAAAGAGTTTTTATTCAGAATTCTATCCTGATAAAAAATTGGACCCACTCTGTGTTGGATTGTATATTTTCTTCTTTTTGAAAAAACAAACTCATTAATTTGCCCTTTGGATTCCAAATTGGCAAATTTTCAGCAAGCTTGAATTAACTTTGATAGGCATGTATGCTCACCTATAGTTATATTGAGATATGTTTATCCTTCATATTATGAAGATTTTTCCATTATCCTTTTATATATATTTGGAATTTCAAAACAATTTTTTGATCTCATCATGGCCTAGCAGCAATTTATAAATTCCCTTTATAAATAAAGCATCCTACGTAAGCTTTAGGCTATAAAGTCATAACCTGCATTACAACCTGTACTGGGGTTATAATGTAAATTCCTAGATATACGCCTGAAAATAATTATTGCGTAACTTCGCGAGAAACACCAAGCGGGAAATAAAATTACTCCCCTAAACTTTTCTGATGCTGAAATTTATGTAAAATCTCTTGATGAACCGTCCATTCGCGAATTATTTCTCGCGATTTACCGTTGAAGAGCCCATTCCAATAATAAGTACTCTCTCGAAAAATAAGGAATCTACAGTAATCAAATAGTGGGATAAATAGAGTAATAAATAAACTACCTAGTATATAAATAAATAATAAATTGGATACAAATACACACTTATTAGTATGAATAATTAACAAGTGCAAATTGTAAAACTGTAAACATGATAAATAAAACATAAATGATATAAACACATGTTAGTATGTTAATTAATTAGTACAGAGCCACTACACCACTATACAAGCTTCCCGGGTGTGAACTAGCGATACAATCCTTGGCTACTAATATCTCTCCATACTCACGTCCTTTGATAATAAGCCGTCATCCAGAACTTCTGAACGGGCTTTCCCGTTCCGCTCGTCTTTTAGTTTAAGGATGTACTGCATGGCCTACACAATGACATGTACTACAGAGTTATTTATAGAAGAGAAATAAGTTTAATATCTACATTTACTTACACTCTTAGACAACCCCTCTTCCTCAAGAACTTCTGACTTGGCCTTCCCTCTGCGCTCGTCTTTCAGGGCAATCAAATACTGCTTTGCCTGGTGATGTTGTGTGAACATGATTGTCAATTGTCAATTGTTTACAGTTAAAAAAATTGGTTTTGTTATGTACATATGATCATTGAGTTTTATATCCTTGAAGTATAAAAAACAAAAACTCTTATTCTCATTCAAAATAAAGAAACAAACTAAATACGCCATGTTGACTAAATATTTATAAAAACATAACACATATATTCTAAAAATAAACTTACTCATACATCTCAAAAAGCCTCCTTTGTGCCCAGAGGTAAAAATGGCAAAGACTCTGTAACTGATATTTTATTGTTACATGATTCAGTAATTTTCCAGCGACATTTTGAGAAAATTTCCTAAATCTTTGGATAAAACCTTGGAATTCCAAAAGTAGGTCACCATGACCTACTTCTTTGTTAGCATACTCCTTCTTTGTTAGCATTCTCTCACGAAAAAGATTCATCAATTGACAATTGACGATTGTAAACCTTTCTTATTTGATATATTATGTTAGCCATAATATCAAAAGTAGGCCACAGTGTAAGGACAAAATTCTTCAGATATGACCAACGTGTCCACATTGCATAAAAAATGACAAATATTTCACAAATGGCCATAGAATTATACTTCTTTGAGCTCAGAAGAGCTAAATACATAAACTCAAATAAATTAAATAAATTTTATCCATGTAAACCTAACAGTACACCTTGTATTTAAGTGTAACAGGCGAGAAGAAAATTACGACGGACCAGATCAGCATTCGAACCAAGGCCCCTGAATCTCAAGTCAGGTGGTCTACTAGCGGAGCTATCTGGCCAAATGCTTTTAAACCCATTTGACCCCCACATTAACATTCTAATGATACTCCGTGCCATGCCCTGGAATTAATAATTAACATACCTTTGGGGTCTCTCGGAGGGCTCCCTTTACCGTTCCACTGGTAAATATCGTCAAAGCCCAGTATAAGCATAACTAGAAACAATGGGTTCTTCACTGTCAAGCCATGCATTTTCTCCTTTCCTGTTAATTTGGTGACGTGTCATGCCCTGGAATTGACAGGTGAAAGACCTGCCAGGGATGAGCCTGTTGAAAGGGCCAAAGACCTTTAAGGAGGAATGTAATGGTTCCCACTGTGGATATCAGGCCTGGATAGCTCAGTAGGTAGAGCACCTGACTCAGATACAGGTTTTCCGGTTTTACGATTGGTCCAGCCATGCATTTTCTCCTTTCCTGTTACAAATATAACCATTCTACACCTATCTCATGGGCCTCAATAACAAAAATACCCACAACAGATACATGTACTGTACTAAAGTTCAATTCCTGTCTTAATTTAGGTGTCGTCTGCTACTAAACTTTAGATCTGTCTTGATTGCATGATTTTTTTTAAAAAAGTTGTTTAGTCTCATATAACTGCAGCAGTGTGTGCTAACAAATTGAAAAATATGTATTAGCGCAGTTAGAAAAAAATTTTAGCAAAATTTTACCGTTACTGTTTTGAGACTAGAGTTTCCAGAAATGTTAATTAAATGCTACTATAAATGTTACGTTTTTTTAACTCGCTGTCTTGTCTGTTTATGTATTGTATATTTTAAAATCCCTGAACTCTCTTTAAGATTGGTTACAATTAACGGAAAATCCTTTCCAACAACTTCAATGTGAGTGTGAATTTTGATTTTTTTTTTTAAATCAATATATAAATATTGCACAACTGCATTCAGTACTCGAAAATCAAAATAGACAGAGGAACAAATATAACCATTCTTTTTGATCTCATGGGCTTCAATAACAAAAATTAAATACAAAGATACATTTTATGTGTACTAACTTAAGTTCAACATTTTTGTGGATTTTTTTTACATGTAGAACATGTCACACTTAGTATAATTTTTGTGCATATTTTCTGCTATACTAAACTTTACTTCTGTCTTGATTTTTTATTTAACGATTTTATCCAAATTTGGTAAAATATTTTAACAACAGATTCAAATAATTTGAGTCTCATATAAAAATGTGTGCCTAAAAATTGAAATTACCATTTAGCGCGGTCACGGAGCACCGTCAAAATTGAGTAAAAATTGTATTTACAAAATACCCGGAGCTGAAACGACATAAAATTTACATGTTTAGATAAAGTATTCTGTATCAATTAAAATGTTAATTAAATGCTCTATCCATTTAAAAGTATAGCTTCTTATATATGGACTTGATTAACTCAAAAAACCATGTCTTGGAGGACTGTTTAGCAGTAAGTAGCAATAAATTTTTTAAAATCCCTTTTTCTCTCTTAAAAAATCCTTATAATTCAAAATCTTTATTTGTATTAAGTTGAATATACAATTTTTGAGTGGTAGCGAGTTTGAATGTGAATTTTGATTTTTTTAAACTTAAAAATATTGTCAATATATAAATCATTGTGTGCTTCAATGTTGCACAAATAATAAAATTGCATGGTAAATCAAAGAATTTGAAAAAAACATTCTAATTCAAGCTATATTTGAACAATTGTAAAACCAGGTTTTATTGTGGATATTGTTTTGAATGGAGAAGGCGCAATAAACCGTGTTTGAAATAAAAAATGTGTATACTTTTGACAAACTTTCCAAACATTTTATGTGCAAAATATACGTGGAACATTATTTTTAATTTTGGCTATATTTCTTTTAAATGAAGAACATAATTTTGTGGATTTTTTTACATGTAGAACATAATTATGTTTTTTACACACTTAGTAATAAATATAGGTTTTGTGCATATGCGATATGCTATACATGCTATATCAGCCCTGCAAATCCATATCAGCCCTGCAGGGCTGATATGGCTATTGTGACGTCAATATATCTTAGTAAATTAAACCACTAAAACAGTACATGTGATCATACACAATTTTTGGTGGGTTCATATTCTCTTAATTTTAACTTTTTAAATATAAGGTTAATCTTAATTTACAAATAAATGCAATAGATTATTTTCAAATAAGGATCGAGTGCACTGAAATAAAAGTTGAAACAAACCCAAATCGTACGAGACAATAGACCATGTACATGTATGGAAGAAGTCCTTGCATGATTATTTACTTATTTTCTTCTCAGCTTAATGTATGCTGTATTTTATCACTAAGTATTTAATAAACATATTAATACAGACCTTTTCCCACATCACATCCTGTATCAGCCCTTGACCAATATCAGCCCTCAGGCCTTCGGCCCTCAGGCTGATATTGGTGTCTCGGGCTGATACAGGATGTGATATGGAAAAGGGTATGTATTATTCTCTATATACTGTATACAGGGTTATTTTCGCCCTGTGTTATTTTTGCCCTTTCAAACTGTAAAACAATTTGTCCCGTTTTAAATTTTTCCAGTATTAGTTTTGTTTAAGAAATAATACTGAATTATTTGAATTCGCCCCGTTTTAAATTCACACTAATGAGGTAACAGCGAAAGGGTAAAAAATAACACGGGGCGAATTTTATCCTGTATACAGTATTTCCTTTTACATGCTTGACCTCCACGTGTTTCCTGGTGCCACAGAAGTAAAACAGACGCGCTGTGTATTTCTCAGGCGTCACCTTGTTAAAGCCAGTCTCTGCTCCTCCCTCTAGAATTCTGTAATATCAAACTCTAGTGATTCAGGGAATTCTGTAATATCAAATTCTGGTGATGTAGAGAATTCTGTAATATCAAACTCTAATGATATAGACAATTCTGTGATATCAAACTCTAATGATTTAGAGAGTTTTGTAAAATCAAACTCTAATAATTTAGAGAATTCTGTAAAATCAAAGTCTAGTGAGTTAGGGAATTCTGTAATATCAAACTGTAGTGATGTAGAGAATTCTGTAATATCAAACTGTAGTGATGTAGAGAATTCTGTAATATCAAACTGTAGTGATGTAGAGAATTCTGTGATATCAAACTGTAGTGATGTAAGAATTCTGTAATATCAAACTGTAGTGATGTAGAGAATTCTGTAATATCAAACTGTAGTGATGTAGATTTCTGTGATATCATCAAACTTCTGTGATATCAAACTGTAGTGATGTAGAGAATTCTGTAATATCAAACTGTAGTGATGTAGAGAATTCTGTGATATCAAACTGTAGTGATGTAGAGAATTTTGTGAATATCAAACTGTAGTGATGTAGAGAATTCTGTAATATCAAACTGTAGTGATGTAGAGAATTCTGTAATATCAAACTGTAGTGATGTAGAGAATTCTGTAATATCAAACTGTAGTGATGTAGAGAATTCTGTGATATCAAACTCTAGTGATGTAGAGAATTCTGTAATATCAAACTCTAGTGATGTAGAGAATTCTGTAATATCAAACTCTAGTGATGTAGAGAATTCTGTAATATCAAACTCTAGTGATGTAGAGAATTCTGTAATATCAAACTGTAGTGATGTAGAGAATTCTGTGATATCAAACTGTAGTGATGTAGAGAATTCTGTAATATCAAACTGTAGTGATGTAGAGAATTCTGTAATATCAAACTGTAGTGATGTAGAGAATTCTGTGATATCAAACTGTAGTGATGTAGAGAATTCTGTAATATCAAACTCTAGTGATGTAGAGAATTCTGTGATATCAAACTGTAGTGATGTAGAGAATTCTGTAATATCAAACTCTAGTGATGTAGAGAATTCTGTAATATCAAACTGTAGTGATGTAGAGAATTCTATGATATCAAACTGTAGTGATGTAGAGAATTCTGTAATATCAAACTGTAGTGATGTAGAGAATTCTGTAATATCAAACTGTAGTGATGTAGAGAATTCTGTGATATCAAACTGTAGTGATGTAGAGAATTCTGTGATATCAAACTGTAGTGATGTAGAGAATTCTGTAATATCAAACTGTAGTGATGTAGAGAATTCTGTGATATCAAACTGTAGTGATGTAGAGAATTCTGTAATATCAAACTGTAGTGATGTAGAGAATTCTGTAATATCAAACTGTAGTGATGTAGAGAATTCTGTAATATCAAACTGTAGTGATGTAGAGAATTCTGTGATATCAAACTGTAGTGATCAAGAGAATTCTGTAATT